CCCTCCATTGAGCCTGTGATGGGAGGTCCTGCCCTCCGTACCTACGCGCTGAGCATCCTTCCAGATGGCCTCCTTGTCATGCCAGTCCTTCAGCTTCTGCCCATCTCCAAAGAAAAGCGTCTTCTTTTGCCGATTGTGTGAGCCCTTAAAAAAAAAAAGATAAAAGATGTGAAAAGAAAGAAAAGGAGAAATAACTTTAGTAATACCTACCCAGACGTTACACTGGCTGGGGAGCTTTTGGCGTATCAGTTGATCTGGTATTAATGATCTGTCTTATCAGTTCATCTATTCATTCCCTCAGTAGACCTTTGTGAGCTCCTGCCATGTGCCAGCTAGGTGAGCTAAGGTCAGCAAGATGACAAGAGCAGTGTCCATCCACCCTTTGGGAAGTCACAAACCAGTAGGGGAAAAAAAGACAGATAATTCTTTTCACCCTGGGAGAAGAGAGGGCTAGGGTGGTGCTGCCTAGCAGAAATATAATGCAAGCCACACTAAAAAAGAAAGTGAAGTGTTAATCAAATATTTTCTTTATCTCAATATGGTATATCTAAAATATCATTTCAACATGCAATTGATGTAAAAATTTATCAAGGTAATTTACATTCTTTTAGGGGGGTGATACTAAATCTTTGAAATCCATTGTGTATCATTTCGATTAAGACTCATTTCAAATGCCCAAGCGCACACAGCTAGTGGCTACATATTTGACAGGGCAGAGGCCCAGAGGAGACACTTCAGGAATTCAGTTTTACCAGAAGGAAATGGAGCACGTTTCATGGACTTAAGAGGCAGGCAGGCAGGTAGGCAAACATCCGGGGCATAGACCACGAGATGTTTGGCCTGAGAAGAAGGAGCTTCACCAGCAGGAGTAAAAGACAAGTCTTGGTCCCCTCTGTGGTACTGAGGGACCAGTCCCAAAGAGGGTAAACATCTAGCAAATGGGTGTGGACTGTATGAACAAGCAATTGGCTGAGAGCAAAAAGGAATATACAGCAGCCCCCATGGGCTGGGCTCTGACAGCATTTACCATCTGTCTGGAAAGGTGCGCCCATCCTGGTAGGTCCAGAGCAAGTGATTTCCCTGATTAAAGAAGGCTGAGTTCCTGTGACTGGGGTCATCAGAAGGAGCCCAATACTTCCCCATGGCAATAGTCAAGTCTCAGAGCCTCTTCAAGGTAACACTGCATGGCGCAGTGTTCACATAAACGCTTTCTGAATCACCTCGCTCATTTAAAAATCTTGCAGACTTGTTCTTGTCACTGTGGCAGGCAGAATCCAATAGTCCTATTTCATATAAAATTAACTACAAAGGCCCCGATGTGTGGCTCGCTGGACATTAGTGTTAACAAGAAGCTACCTGAATAAAATCATCCCTGCACCTGTTTATTAAGTCTTTGGCTGATCCTCATGTAAGCAGATTTTCCACAACAGCTCTACATCTTTACAATAGCTCTAGTGACAATAACAATCCTTCACATTCTCTCTCATAGACCTCTTTGAATTGCAAAAAGATAATTCTTGGGAAGTCAGCATGCCAGTTTGTTTTGGTCAGAGAGGGAAAGAAAACCACAAAAACTAAGGCCCAGGGTCTGCCAACAGTTCTTGGGTTCTTAAAAATCACAGATGCTGAGCTGGAAGGTCCTTAAGGAAGCATCTAATCAGTTCAGGCTGTGGTTCTACAGGAGGCGCCTCTTTCTGTCACACCAGCAATGCCTCTGTTTTATGTACGAGGTTCCATGTGAAATTTCACTTGAAAAAAAGTTCATCTGCTAAAAACAGATGAGGAAAATCTTCCAAACAAGCAAACAAATATATTTGGAAGCTGAGCTAGCTAAGGCCACTTCCCTGTACCACAGACAGAAAAACCAAGCCTTGGGGTGGGGCCAGGGACCTGCCCGTGGTAATATTCTGCTGCTGCAACGTCAGGGCTGATTAGCCGGGGCCTGGTTAGCTCTCCTTTCCCCAGCCCTCCCTCTCGACAACTTTTCCTGCTTCCTCTGCCCACGGATTGGAAACTTTGGTTGCTCACTCCACATCTATGGTGGGACTGAAGAAGCTGTGAAATGAGGCTTCTTAATGGAAGGCACAAAACTAAAGCCCTGGTCTTCAAAGTTCAGCTGCTGCTTTGCCAGCAGCATTGGCACCACTTGGGAACTTCTTAGAAAACCAAGTTCCCGGGGCCCACACTAGACCTCTGTTAGCAGAGCAATAAATAGATTGCGCCCAGCAATTTGTTTTAACAAGATCCCCCTGAGATTCTGATACATGCTCAAGACTCAGAGCTGCTGGTCTACAATGAAGCAGATAATAATCCTGCCTGCTCTGTGTTGGTCACACCAAGTTGAACAGACACTTATCACTCTGGAGACGGCAAAACCAGGAGGTGTGTGGGCCAAAGGTGGTTGTTGGCAGACACAGTCTGGGGTCTTATACGGTGTCTATTGTTTCATTTTGGCTTTCTTAATACCAGCTTAAAAAACAGGGGGATTTCATATGGTTTTATCAAGACTTTTGGCTTTTCTTGAAAACCCAGAATGTATGTCAATACTTGAGGCTGAGTTTCCTCAATCCTCGGCTGGGCTGGGTCACTCCTGCCCTGTTTGGGTGGTGCCTGTCTCTTTAGTTCACCACAGTCCCCACCATTTCTTACTGGATTTCATCGGCCTCTCATCTCTCATTTGTGTTACTTGCCTGGCCCCAGGGAGTCTGAACCATGTTGGGATATATAGGAATGTGTCCTGGATGGGGAAGATTAGAAACTGTGTTGTATAAGGACTGGGGTGGGGGAAAAAGCCCTGGGGGCATGGGAAAAGTCATCTTGTTCTCTGAGGTCCTGAGGATAGAGTGAGCACTAGTGATAGAAGTTACTGGGTGGGCATAGGTATGGTGGCTCATGCTTGTAATCTTAGTACTCTGGGAAGCTAAGGCAGGAGGATCACTTGAGTTTGAGACCAGTCTGAGCAAAGCAAGAGACCCCATGTCTATGAAATACAGAAAAAAACTAGCCAGGTGTGGTAGCACACACCTGTAGTCCCACATATTCCGGAGGCTGAGGCAGGAGGATAGCTTGAGCCCAGGAATTCAAAGTTGCTATGAGCGAGGCTGAGGCCATGGCACTCTACCTGGGGCAACAGGGCAAGACTCTGTCTCAAAAAAAAAAAAAAAAGTTACTGAATAATTGAGGGGCCTAAGATGGAGAATTTTGGTGTAGCAGGTCTGTGGGGGGCTTGAGAGCCTGCATTTCTAACAAGGTCCCACATGATGTCCAAAGATACTTTGAGTAGAAGGTTAAGCAACACTTAAAGGACATGTTAAGAGCCTAAGATTCCACAAATGGCACTGTTTCCCTCATGTGCTTGTGAAAGCCTTCTAGTGCCACTGGGAATGGGGTATAGGGATGAACCTCACAGTCTTGATCTCACAGAGTGAACTCCTTGAATCTTGTTTTCAGAAGGAAACGCTGGGTTGCTGAACTGATGGCACTGAGGCTTAAGATTCCCGCGTCCCGGGCATTTCACACCTACTTCCACTGTCTTTGCCCTAATGACATTCTGCCCTCCTTCCTAGGTTCGCCAGAGATGACCTATGCTGTTTTAGGTAATCTTCTTAGTCCTTACATCTTCCTTAAAGCAAGAGGACTTGAAGACTTGCTGACATAGTGCATCCACATGGCTAAGCACACATCTGTTCGAGTCCTCAAACATCTGAGCTAAGCAGCTGCTCAGAGAAAATTAGTCCACCTCCCACCATCTTACAGACCTGTTTAGAAACTGAAGTCCAAACAGGCTGAGCTACCCAACTAAGCCCTTACCATAGACAAGAGGATAAGAGCCATATCCTTTGACTCTTGGGATAGTTTTTCTTTTTTCAGAAACAGTACTTGCAGTGTGACCTTGCAAAAGCTACAGGAGTCACAGGCACCTCCATTTTCTCATCTCCGGAAAATGGAGATATACTACCCCCAAAAGTACTTTCAGGTGACCCAAGAAACTCATGAATGATACATCATGAATGCTGTCATAATTTACACAGACTGCGGATATTGACTCCTTTAGGATTTTAAGAATCTATTGTACATTGACATCTCACCAAATCATGTAGCTATAGGCCTTGAATTTTATTACACAGGTTGAAAAAGTTTCCAGTAATAGGTCTGAGCCTTTGGTAGAGTGGAAAACTAGTTTTAACATCACAGAGTATACAGAGCTGAAGGGGTGCTACGGATCCTACCCACAAGCCTGGACAAAAATTGTTGCTAACTGCAGGTGGTGGAGGAGTCTCTGATGTCCAGACACGGAATTTCTGGAGACAGTGCAGATTAAGATTTCTATTAAGTTCAAACTATCACCAAATGTTTATTGTCACCTACTTTGTGCAATGTAGTGTGCTAAGCCCCAGGGACACAGGTGTGATAACAGAACCCGCAGAGGCACTAATGGGTTTGCAGTCAGATCAGCCTCTCTCAAAAGGCAGGAGTTACGGGTTCTGCATCCTGATTACAGATGCAAATTCCTGGATGCTAGAATCCACATTAACAAAGAATCTACTAAGACAGGAGTCCAGGAAGATGTGTGTGTGTTTAACACATTTTTCACATGATTCTGAAATAAAGTTGGAAAGCCATTTGTCTAAATCCAGCAGCTTCATTTTACAGATATGAAGTCTGAGGCTAACAAAGTAGAATGGACTTGCCCCAAATCCTACAGCTTTTCAGCCCCAAGGACCAAACCAGATCTGGCTGTTCTCCCCCTAGTTTAGACCTTACGCTTCTTTCTGAAGGCAGGGGTATTTTTTCACTGTGCTCTGGCTTATCAGAGGCCCTGAACGAATGGGGCAAGGGAGTCAGTTTAATAACTCAGAGCATTCTGGGCAGCGCCTGTGGCTCAAAGGAATAGGGCACTGGCCCCATATGCCAGAGGTGGTGGGTTCAAACCCAGCCCCAGCCAAAAACTGCAAAAAAAAAAAAAAAAACCTCAGAGCATTCTAGAGGTTCTAGAGTTAGAAAAACTAGGTTTCATTTCCTGGGTAGGTAAAGCCCAGTTTCCCTGGCTGAGGAACAACTAACAGGAAAAAGTACTCCTGGTTGTTGGGAGGATTAACTGAGCTCATCTATACAAAGTATTTAACTCAGTGTCTGGGACACAG